TTGTGGCTAAGGTTTAGGCTGATGGTGACATTAAATGAGGCCAACCCTTGGAGGTTAAGGTGCTTAAATAGTATGCAAACCCCGAAAATTAGGGTTTCACTCTAGCAACTTTACTCGTCGAGTTGGGGGCTCCCAACACGTCGAGTAGGTCTCTCAAATCCCGCGCCCAATTTCCATTTCTACTCGATGAATTTGGGGCTTCCAACTCGTCGGGTCCCTTTGCAAAAAATAAGAATTCTTATTTAAAATACCTACCAGGAACCGAGTGTTATAGTACGTCCAACATACTCGACGAAGACCGCGTCCATTTTAAGTGACCTACACCCAAAGTACGCATCAGGTATAACCTACGTAGGGACTAATTTTGCAATAAATTGTTATTTTTAGCTGGAAATGAAAATACCTGGAAACGAATGTTACACTTTTCTTGGTGTTCAAGAAGACATCTGATGATTCCACAAGTGTACCCATTTCAAGTACTTTGGCGTAGGAAACATTGATTGTATCTTATCCCAAAGGGATTTCAACTTGATGTAATAAGCTGATATAGAGGTCTCGTCTTGTCGAGTGGTAGTGAGTTGGTTCTTGAGTTCATAATCCCTGGGAGCACTTTCCTTCCCAAATATTTCATGAAGATCAAACCAGATTTCCGAAGCAGTATTTGCGTACTTGAAGCTGCTTCTTATTTCCTTTTCCATGGTTGTGGTAAGCCATCTCTTTATCATCGCATCACACCTCATTCATGCCATGTGATCCTTTGACATCTTTTCTGGTTTCACAATGGTGTCGTCTATGAAGCCAATCTTGTTTTGGCAAACAAGGAGTTCTCCATCTCTTGGACCCAATCAATGTAGTTCTTATTAGACAAAGCCTTGTTGACTTGCATTTGTATTGGATAATCGGATGAGTGAAGATAGTAGGGTGAGTCATGATCCGATGTATTATTGTTGTTCTTGTTGGAAGAGCTGGCATCGTCCCCTGGCATGTCGATGCAGGTTTAGGGTTTTGTAGAGTAGCTAGGTATCTTGCTCTGATACCATCATAAATTTGATACGTTGTTATTTTATTCATAGATCTCAAATCCTTTTATATACAATACAATAAAAGGATAAAAACATCTAATTATGTAATAGGAGATAATAACAAACAATATATATTCAAATCAATTTCAATTGGTAGGAGAATAGACAAATAAGAGAGAGTATGACAAAAAGATGTTGAGGGGTTGAAACTCGGCATGATGAGGCTGGGGACAATATTTTCTGAGCCTAAACTTTGCCGAATAACATGCAAGACTATACACCATAGCCTAAAAATAGTAGGGAAATTTATTAAAATAAGGAAACAGTTGACGAAAATGGCAATAAAACAATACAGCTTAACCAAACACATACAACGACTAAAATCAAGAAAAACAACAAAGGAAGCACCATGATTTTTGATAACAAAACTGTAAATAATAGTTATTATATATTAAAAGATGATGCAAGGTAGAAAATCTCATATATAAATAGAAATATTATCCATGATAATGGCTAGAAAAAGACCAAAATTTTAAATGAAATAAATGTTTGGGTGGTTTGTAAAAAAAACAAAGAGTTTAGGCATAACTTCTATAAATTGGATGATTGTTGAATAACAAAGAAGAATGAAGGGAATATTTCTGTAATTTGAATTGAAAACTCAGTAAAATACGGTACATCGTTAGTTTTTAAAGGTATTAAAAAATAAATAAAAAAAAAAGTCTCCAAAAGATTCAAACTTGGGCACCTCTTATTAGTTGGTATGTTACTAACCATCTAACCTAAGAAAATGTTGCATAAATTTTAAACACAATTCATATATATAAAGTAAAAGACAGATATAATTTTGGGGCTTCAAACCGTAACGAGGCCCAAGGCCGTCGCCCGGCTTGCCCGCCCTATTGGGCCGGCCATGTGAGATTCATAAAATGATTCTTCACGATGATTATGTTTGTTTTTATAATTTTGACTTTAGATGTGTCAAAATCTTGAGTGGACTACTCGAACATGAACATAGTGTTTCTTTTTCTTCCCGGGTATTGCATTCTAGTTGCTGATAAAATGTCAATGATAACTTTTCTTTCTTAGCAACATATATGTATATATAGCCATGACATTTCCAATCTTTATTTAACAAATTAACAAAGTCTGTCAAATTAATAAAATTCACAAATAACAAAGGTTTTTACAAAAAGAAGACAATCATAACCATCAAGGAAAAGAAGTAAACAACAAATTTTAATGATCAAATGCTCGAGCATAACAAAAATCAATATACATACCATACATACTAAAATTCATATTACTTGTAGATAATACTTTCATTATTACTACACACATTCATGGATCTAATATCTACATACTAAATTGCGTACATTTACTGAACAATATAACTGGTGGAATATTTAGCTGAATCAAATATAACAACATTCAGATTAATAGTTAGAGAATCTTGGATATATATGAGTATTGATTTGAATGTTCTAAATACAATCGTTTTACAGCTTTTATTGAATAAGAATGGATTGGTAAACCAAAAACTGTTAGTTACCATTTACTAATCAAAACGAGATGAACGATGATGCCCCATAAAAATTGCAATAAGATCCATTTCCATATACTCAAGAAAAGGAAACCTTTTGAAGCTAAAATTACATATTTAAACATTGCCATCCTTTTATAGAAATGATGATAAAGGTTTGGATCACAAGGTTCCTCTATTTTGTCAATTTTGAAATTTAAAGGGTACAATTATATGAAATGATTAATAATAAAGATTTCCCCTTAAACTATGTGAGGTTAACATTTTTCTCACTATTATTGGCTTTAACAATCTTGTATGAGTGTTCGGATAGACGCATTTACTTTCAGGCAGAAACACAAACACTTCCATTTGTTCGATGATTTATTATTAAATTTGAATTTCTGTATCAGGTTTTTTTATGCAGTATAGTTTAGTGATTTGTGATTACATTAGAATTTCTACGTGTTTAGTAATTTCTAATACATCTGAGTTTATACAGGTTTGGTGTTCGGATTGCATTTGAATTTCTACAAGAGCTAAATTAACTATTTCAAGATTGGGTTTTATTTTTTTTATATTTTTTTCCCTTAAATATTCATATGGAATTAAACCACTCACCAAATAGGTGGCAAGGTAGCACTACAAAAGGACAAGCATACCCAAGTAGTAGGAAGAATAAATCGTTGTGCTAATCCCGTGTAGGCATCTATCATTAATGCATGAATAAAGAGTTGAAATCTGTTTGAAATAATCTTTGAATACCAATCTTCGAATTTTTATATGAGTAATCATATTGTTAATTATAATTTTTTTCTGGCTTGATAGTTAATCAGGTTGAAGATTAACAGTAAATTTTTGTTATGTTTTTTATGAGATCTGATTATTTTCAGGGATGTAATGATGATGTCATCAACAAGATTAGTGAATGTAAAAAGACCAATTATATAGCTTGATTGCAAGCCTTGAAATTGGATTAAAAGTTATCGTTTAGACACAATGCTCCACTGAAATGTATGTAATTCTAAGTTTTATTGGATATGCACTGTCTAAGATTTAGATGGGGTTTATTTAGCACTACATATTAGTGCATTCATAGTAGGGTTTTTTTTCTGTTTTTTCTCGGAAATCAAAGACATTGTTTTTGACTGAACTATCAACCCATTAAGAGAGGAACACCTTGTCAAACACCTTAATGATGTCCATTAAGATATATAAAAAAGAACCCATAAGACTAACTAATCATCAATTTTTTACTTAAGCTCATCTCACCAATTCAGTTTACAGTCTTTATAGAATTCATTATGTTTAACAAACACTATATAACATGTGTTGTGTGTATGGTCTGATTTTGATATGTAGATTAAAACATGATCTTTTGTTGGTTCACTACAAGAAATGGTGACATTAGCGGCGACATGTAATGGATGCGTTACATGTCACCGCTAATACCCGGTGTCGCAGCTAAAGGTGTCGCCGCTAATGACTACCTAATGGAGATCCGCGTCAAATGAGCCCTATCCGTCTCACTTCACTTTAATCCAAGGGTAAAAAAACGCGCATATTTTTCCCTCTAGGTGTCTCCGCTAATAGACCCTTGCCGCCGCTATTGCCCGTTGCCGCTAAAGGTCTTTACAGATAACCCCCCATCCGCTTCCTTTTCTGTTTCACTCGTGACTACTGCGCGCCTTCGTTCCTTTCCTTTCTACGCTTCCTCCGTTTTCTGTGTAAAGTCCGGTGACCAAAGGCGCTTTCCCAGCCACTGCCACTCCGTCCCTCAATCCTCCATTACTGAAGACTTGGACCAAACAGAGCTAAAACCATGTAATATACATATTGTTTAAAAGCTCTTTTAATATTTAATATTTTTTTAATAAAATCATCTAATAAACGATTACACGAATATCTAACATAATGCATGATACAAAACATGGGAAAGAATCTCATGAGCTTGAGAATGTTGTTTTAAGAAAGAAAAAAAAAACCTATTAACTTAGAAACAATACATTTGTATTGTATAAATTTATCCCACATCGTTGAAAAATATAAATGGGACGTTTCCGTTCTCTTATAAAACGTAAGACATGTGAGCTATTTTTGTAGAGACCTGTGCTGTAAATCTATTGAGGTTTTCTTTTATCTCCCATTCTTTCGAGATTGATCATTATAGTTTTCTGCAATATTCTTAGAGCCTTTTATATTGAAAAATGTATGTACTTCCAGGATCTTGGGTTTCTATTTTGCGTTCCCTTTTCAAATTCACAAAAAGTTTTATTTGAATTTGATCGGCTGAATCGCGTCTTGGTCGTTTAGTTAAGTTGAAGATTGGTTGCCTAATCCTAATCCGAATGAGATCTTTTCACTCGTTTGTATTATTGTAATAATGGAAGAATAAATCAATCAACTAGAACACCAATTATATCATGATAACAGTCGTTTGGTTAACCAGTGCCCTAATGGCATCACTGCAAGACAGTATGAATAGCTTCAAGAAGCAACAAGAGAAATGCCAGTCAAGCCCAAAGAGCAAAAGCATTGCAGGTTCTAAAACAATCGTTAAGACAGCAACACCTGCAAACACCTAGACCAAATTATCTTCTCCTTCATTTATATTCCCCAATGACACGAAGAGGTTGCAGCATATTAATAATATAAGGAAGTGACCTATTGAAGCTCAGATCTATCGTGCGATTGATCTGCTGTTTAAGGTACAAACCTTATATGAACCTTGGTTCGAGTATATTTTCTAGAGAATCGAGAAATATTTTGTATATTTTATTTGTGCACCTAGTTACAGTTGTATTCAACAGTATATGTTTATAAAATATGAATGTAATGTAACAATGTCAAAAATATAACATGGTCAATTATGTTTATTTAACTTCTTCAAAGTATCTTTTTGGTGGAATTTTTGATAGTTATGGGTGCATCTTATTCTATTAGTTAATTTATAGAATTAGGACACATGGGTTATAAAAGTGCCATTGACATATTTTCTTGGCACATCGTTTTGTTTTTGTTTTCATTATCTGTATTTGCAGTCTGATTATATGATATTGTGAATTAGTGATAATGTTTATAAGCCCATAAATGGTTTGGTTTGTTTTTGGTATATGTTGGATTTCTTTAGATGATATTCTCTATTTAGCCATGTTAGTGATTGGTATTCACCAATAATTAATTAGGGTATTTAGGTTATAATTACACAAATATATGAAAGTGCATTGCTAAATTTATTAATATATTATATATACAGAAAAGGCAATCCTTCACAGCGGAGCAAATAACTGAAGCATGTTGTGATGATGTCAAAGGCAACAAGGCCGTGTTTCAAAGTTTAGCAAACAACCCAAAAGTTAATTATGATGGAAAGCGCTTCTCTTACAAGGTACTTTAAATCTTTTAATGATATATAATCTGTTAACATTTAGTGAAATAAATTTTTTTTTTTTTTTTTTTTTTTTTTACAGTTGAAGTATAATGTGAGAGACAAGAAGGAACTTTAGAGTTTAATACAAACATTTGCAGAAGGTATTTCTGTTGCTGATCTTAAAGATGCCTACCCTACTATCGTGGAAGATTTACAGGTAATTCTAGCATCCTTAGAGTCATTGTTGAATTCTTTTAACAACTCGGTCTTCATGTTGACAAATATTGTTCAATTCAGGCCCTGAAAGCTGCTACAGAGATATGGCTATTATCAAATCCCGACTTGAAGGAAGACATAGCCTACCCCAATGATCCTCAGGTTCCCTTTAAGGTTGATGATGAACTGAAAATTTTATTCAGGGCAATTGAGTTGCCACACGACATGCTAGAGATCGAGCTTGATTTGCAGAAAAATGGCATGAAGCCTGCAACCAATGCTGCTATGAGAAGAGTAATGGCACAAAATGGTAATATATGTAACAAACCAAAAGAAAAGAAGAAGAAGAAGGCCAAGATTAGTAAATGCACAAAGCCTACAAACGCTCATCTTCGTGAGCTTTTCCGAAACCTTAATGGGTAGTTGGATTGCTAACGTGTATCGAGAGAGTGGTAGTATTACTAAGAATATGAAAACTATGTTATGATAAATGTAATGTATGTTTTATAATTTGTATCAAGATTTAGGGTGTGTATGGGGCGGTATGATTCGGTTATCGGACAAAATCGAGTCATAACCATTACAACTGATTAATGCATTTCAGTAGCCATTGGGTATGGTTAAGATTCGTTATGGATAATGGTTTTTATTAGTTAATGGTTAATCTTGATTAACAATAATGTTTAAATATGATATAAAAAACGAAAGTGCATTGTTAAAAAACTACACTGTTATAAAAAAGTGAAAACAGAAAAGCATGTTATATATATATATATATATATATATATATATATATATATATATATATATATATATATATATATATATATATATATATATATATATAGGATAAGGATAACATAAGAATACCAAAAAGATTGAGAATGCTAAAACACTTTTGGACCAATCATTTTGCAAGGGTATATTAGTAATTGTATATTTAATTTAAATTAAAACAAATTAAATTCAAATCTTAATTTCCTATGTGAGACCCACTATTTCTCTAATACCTTTACAATATTATTACTCCAAACATGCTACATGTATATTCATAAACATATTTTATATACATGGTCTTATTACAAAAAGACTGGATACAAACCGACAATTAAGATTTTTACAAAGTTTTATATATTACATAACTTCCTAGGAAATTATAAACTAAATACAAAAACTATAATATTATCTGTTCTACATCTTCTACCACTACATGACTATACTGGATGCTTATCACCTGCAATAGTTTGAACATTGAGAGGGATAAGCGGGTGACGTTTAGTGAGTTTAATAACAGTTTCAGTATAACGTTATGCATACACATATCAATATGACAGAAGCAAAGAGGGACAAATAACAACAAAGACATATGTAAATCATATGCCAAACTTTCCATATCAACAAATGATATGCTTCAAAGATTTACAATCAATGAGATATAACAATTTAAACTTGATATACATCAATAAGACTTTAGACCAAGTGGCACATAAAATAAACGATTTTTGAATTAACATTTTGCTAGAATATACAAGTTTTCAGCCCTATCTAGCATTCTGCATATGCCAAAGTGATGCTTACTCATTCACTTCATGTTCAAAGGCTACATACCAATCTATCTAAGTGATGCTTAGTCATTCACTTCGTCGTTAAAGGTATAGCTTATTATCATAATAACACGGGAAAACACATTGCACATATAACACATAACATACAGTTATCCCTATATTGAACTCACCGTGGAATAACCGAATGATAAAATGCTGATTTGGGTAGCACTTCGTCTCTAAAAATGACTTTCTTTAACGAAATCGGAGATTTTTGTTGAAAAACTGGCCTTGCGCGGGTAGAGTCTCAACTTGAAAATATTATTTTCTCGGGTCTTCGGTGCGTCGGGACTTGCTTCGGATGTCGGGGATGTTTCCTAGGCTTAGGGGTGGTTTAGATAGGCTAAAAATAGAATATAGAGTGAAAGAGATTCCAAAATTGTAAAACAAATCCGGAGACCTCGCACCCCTTTTATAGGTGGCCGAAGCCTCAGAGTATGCTAGGCGTACTTCGGTACGTTGGGCGTACGAGGTCTGGCATCTGCTCGATTGTCGAGTCTCAGACGTGTCATCCATGCGAGATACATGAATTTACGTGAAGGAAGGGTCGACGTGGCTGTCTCCGGATCACTTACGTGCGAAGTACGCTGGGCGTAGCCTCGTGTATGCTAGGCGTACAGCTTGAGACCAGCCTCGAAGTTTGTGTCCAAAACTTCAAAATTTTGTATCTTTCGCATACAAGCTCTATTTTGACATTATTTGTATGCATGCATAGGTGAAATTATGCTCTACAACTTTCGTTTAAACTCCGTCGGCTAATTTTAACTTTATTTTTAATATTATATTTTTAATAGACCGGGATAGAAAAATATGTTAAAAATTCATAACTTCTTCATCCGATGTACGTTTTCGTCTGTCTTTTTACCGTTGTACTACTATTGACGAGAACTTCGATTCTCGTTTAGGTTGAGTCGGCTAAAAATCACTCGATCTTTATTTCGAGTTTTTAGCTGCATACTACTATACCGAAACTTAGAAAAATCATAACTTCCTCATACGAAGTCATATTTGGACATTCTTTTTATGAAAATTCTCGGTTTAACGAATACTACGACTTTCATTTAGATCAATAAAACTAAAAAGTAGTTTATTGAAAACTCATTTTTTACGCTAAATAGTGCTTTGCCGGTTTTGTCGCAGATCTTCAATAAGTCATAACTTCTTCGTTATAACTCGGATTGCGATGATGTTTCCCCTAAATGTTTCTAACGAGATAATCTACAACTTTCAATAACATTATTTTTAATTATTTCTAACTTTATATTTTCGTTAATTTCAATAGTGGACTTTTGATCGGATTGTCATAAGACTTCCAATACTTCCCAAATGATTCTAAACATAGTTTTACAACAATTCTCGTAAAAACTATCTTGTTAGAACTGAACACTCAAAAACATATAATATTATTCATTTTTAAACAAAACACGATAACTGAACGTGTATGTTACAAATACCTCATCCTTTTGAGTATTTCGTCCCCGAAATTACAATGATTTAAACAAATGGGGCTATTTCACTCTTATCTCATTCTTATTTTCCTAAGTATAATTTGGGCCTCGATGATGTTTCCACTTAATAAGCACCAACTCCACTTCTTTATTATGCCGTTGAATCATAAAAGTGACCCCTTAAACTTAGTCTACCGCAACCTTCCAAGATCCGCAGTCAACTCTGATCAGCAACTCATCCGAAGTCATCATCATCTGCACCTGACTATCTAGTTTTCTTAGTTTAACTCTTTATCTGCTTTTCTTAGAATACTCTCTTTTGTCCAGCATGCCTTGCATGGCTACGCTTAGATAGTTGAACAAATATAATTTTCGAGTCTCTATAAATAGAGCTCAATACTTCTTATTCAATACATCTGATAACACTACACATCTTGAATCTCATATCTTGTGTGATTACTCTCATCTCCTTCTTACTCTCAAAGTTAAGCTGAATATAACTGAATATTATCTCTCTTCGGAGCAAGTCATTTTTGACTTAATCACTAAGTTTGATCTCACTTACTAACTTGGTTTGAATGCATTCCTTGTTAAGAATCAACTTATGTGTATACTTGATATAATAACTGCTGTCATTTACATTTCCTTATATTTCCGCACCTAAATCTCTAATTATCTAACTCTAACTTATTATTATTGTTGAGCTTTTAGATCCTTTGAGATAAAGTATTTCGCAACTATACTTGTTCTAACGTTTGTTCAAGTGTGTCTCAAGTTTTTCTCTCAACATACGCAATTCAATCCTTCTTTCGTTTACGATCTCTTCAGGCTCTTCTACATATCTTAATTTTTTATCCAGTTTCACTTTGGATAACGGAACCATTTCATTGTATATGGTTAAACATTTACGCAGATAACTCACATAAAACACATCATGAATACATGCCAAATCTTCAGGTAATTCCAAGCGGTATGCTTGTTTACCAATGCTCTGGATGATTTTGAAAGGACCAACAAATCTAGGACTCAATTTTCCTTTCTTCCCAAATCGTATAATGCCTTTCCATGGGGGACACGTTAAACATTACAAAATCACCCACTTGGAATTCCATGGGTCGTCTTCTCTTTTCTGCTTTGAAGTTCTGTCGATCCTGGGCCGCTTTCATTATTTCTCGTACAATTTGAACCTTGTCAATGGTGTCTTGGATCATTTCAGGGCCTCCAAGGATTTTCTATCCTACATCACACCAACATAATGGAGTACGACATTTACAGCCATATAATGCTTCATATGGTGGCATTTTGATTGAAGTATGGTATCTATTATTATATGAAAATTCGACAAGAGGTAAGTATTTATCCCAGTTACCACCAAGTTCCAGGACACATACACGAAGCATATCTTCCACTGTTTGGATTGTTCTCTCTATCTGACCATCTGTCTTGGGATGATATGATGTACTGAGAGCAATCCGATATCCCAATTCACGTTGCATACTAGCCTAAAAATGAGAAGTGAAGCGAGTATCATGATCGGAAATAATCTTTAGTGGCACACCATGTCTCGTAATAATTTCATATTAGTATACTTGTGCATATTCCATTGGATCTGTTTCATGCATGGCAAGATAATGTGCGCTCTTATTCAGTCGATAGATAATTACCCAAATGCTATCATTCTGTCTCGCAGTCTTTGGCAATTTAGTAATAAAATCCATGGACAGCTCCTCCCATTTCCACATAGGGACATTAATACTTTCTGGACTCCCGTATGGCTTTTGGTGTTCCTCTTTGACTTGTAAGCACACTAAACATTCCTGCACGTATCTTCCAATGTCTCTCCTCAATCCAGGCCACCAATAATTAGCTCGTAAATCATATTACATTTTACTTGTACCAAGATGTATTGACAGTTTAGACTTATGGGCTTCATCCAAAATCTTTTGTCTTAATCGATTGATCTCTGGAATCCATAGCCGATTCTTACATACTTTCAGTCAACGTGGATCATCAAGTAAAATATCAGCATAATGTACCATCCCTTTATTTTTCACATTTTATGGCTTTAAGGCCTCTACTTGCCATTTCTTTAGTTCATCAAGAATAGTGAACTTTACGGTAGGTTAGGTAAAAACATAACACACACTACTATGATAAACCTTCCTGCTAAGTGCATCGGCAACTACATTGGCCTTTCTATGATGATACATGATTTCACAGTTATAATCTTTGATCAACTCCATAGCTTGCTGTTCTCTCGTATTCAATGTTTGCTTACTGAATATATACTTGAGACTTTTGTGGTCAGTAAACAATTGGCATTTTGTAACAATTGGCATTTTGTACCAAAAAAATAATGCCTCCAAAGTTT